TTGTGGAAAACAGTAATAATCATGAAATCAGAGAATAAATTCAATAAAAGTATCTTTTTATGAATCGTTATATTTCGATCGCTTTGTTTTAGACCCCTTATTGGGCGGGGAGGCATAGGGGAGGCATAGGGGAGGCATAGGAGGGCTAATACAGACAATGCATTGACAGAGTGTTGACCACTGCGTCATACAGTCATACACTGAATGTGCGATCGAATGGTGTGTTGACTGTTGTGTTGAGTGTTGAGTGCATTGACTGTCATTCGGGCACTAATGCAGTGACGCATACATTCAGTGCAGTGTTGGTCACCACTGGACACACAGACACACCACTGGACACAACCATCACTGCAATGACAGACATGGATGACGGCTCACTCAAGCAGTCCATCGACCGCTATATGGACACCAATGACCACTTCCGCCAAGACTTACAACTATTGCAGCAATCATTGGACACGAGTGACAGAAAGTCGGTGTTTGGGTTCAGTCACCAGTTGGACATCAATGCCATCACCTCTCAAGACAATGGTTTGTATGCATCAACACATCCCACACGCAGTGATCACTCATTGGATTTGCATTGATTTGCAGCCCATTTCAGTGACTTCTTGAGCCAAAAGGCCGACGATTTCGCGGAACTGTTCCACAAACGACTTCGAAGACGAGTCGGTAAGCGAGCGCTCAGTGGACACAAGATTTGGTTTTGTCTCAAATACAAGAACTTATCGCAAAAGTAAGCCATGCATTGATCCATTGGATCCATTGTCTTGTTTACGAACTTACTCTCGGATCAGATACCACTACAAGACATACAAAGAGGTGAACAAAAGCAAAAGCCAACTCTTGTCCATCGATTGTCTGCAAATCGTGTCAATGAGTCATCCGATGAAGGCATTGATCGCGAAACTGAGGACAAAGGATGGCGAAGACGAGTGGAAAGTGCGGCCATTGAGTGACACGAACGCACACTTCAGCAGCAGATCTCTTGGATCTGTTGGCACGAGTGATGACCACTTCTGCAGCAGATCTCTTGGCACCAGTGATGACCGCATTTACGCCAATAAACGCCAACTTCTGGTGGTTGTGGGCAAAGACTGGACCAAATGTGCTCTCAATCCCATCCAAATCACCATCAATTACATGGCGTTCACCGACACTGAGATGGCAGCCATTTATAACGGATCCCATCTCCAGAAGGTTGTCCTCATGAGATACCATTCAACCGATTATATGCTGTTATCGTTCGACAAGATGTGTCCGTCCATTAGACACGCCTTTCCACTCGACCGACAAT